TATCGCTGACATATCGCTGGGTTTGGCTCTTACATTGTATTGGATAACTGTGGCAAACAAGCAAATCCGATGGTTCTGAAGTGAGAATTCGGACTTAATGGGTTTTTTTTTAAAACTTTTGACTTAAAAAGCACAAATTTGAAAATTTAAATAAATTTTTTCCTCCAATTTTTTTATAAATTTTCTATAAACTTCGCTTTTTATTAGTTTTCCGATTCCGCCATTTCTGTTTTTCGCCTAAGGCAAATACAAATGATGTTTATAACCAATAAATTCTAATAATAATGCAAATTTCTGCATAATTTATTTTTTGTTATATTTAACATAATAGAAGGAAATTATTGGTCTCAGAGAAAGGGAATTATTAAATAAAGAAAGGAAATATAATGCAACGAAATAAAACATGGGACTTCAACCTAAAACATTCATTCGAAGGAAAAAAAAATCTTTCCTCCAGTCTATCGACACAAACCACAAGTCAACCGGCATTTAAAGCGCATGACAACTCCATAATCGCCAATATTGCAAAAATTGCGGTGCCTTGGACAGTCGGTATGGTCGTCACGGCAGCTTCCCTGCGATACTGCAATAAATAGAACTGTTCTAACAATTTTCACATAATTATGGGAGTGGAAGATTTAGTGATTCCCCTAAGGTCCGATTATTCGATTATTGGAACTTATCTATCACATGCACGACCATGAAATATGCAAATTATTCTTAGATTATGATACGTTATACAGTGACATTCATAATATCGATTAATAACCAGTACCAACGCCTTTTTTGACCTATTAAAATCGATAGTAATTAGTAACCCACTTGTTTGATTTGTAAGGCAGTCTCGTGAGAAGCATGACCTCTGGCACAAATTCTTGAATCGATTGTCAAAACAAATACCCAATCCCACCAAAACATCGCAGCCGTCGATGGTGTCGGGACACATGTTTGCAGCACCAGGTAAATGACAAAGGCCACAAGTTTGCGGGCAAAGTCGTAATGCAATGCTTGGAAATTGACTGCACATTGCCCTCGAAAAATTTCTGCATGCACCGTCCCGACCTCCAACTGAAATTGAGATTAATGGAGGACACAACACAAATCTTCCTCTCTTCCTCGTCATTATACAATAAGCATTTTTTTAAATGGCATTATTTTGTTTTATAATATAAAAATATAAAAAGAGGATTATTTGTGCAAATTGAGTTTCGTAATGTTCGCTTAGAACAAAATTCTAATTCTAATTCAAAATTTTTTTTTTGAAATCATTGATATTTTTTTAAACGATTCCTTAGTCAAGTCAAATATTTTAATAATCTTTACACCTTTTATGACCGTAGCTTCCACGATAACAATTTCCGGTGTAGCAAAATATAAATGCAAAAAAAATACTAAGTGGTAATGAATTAGTTTTAAATTTTGATGAACTATTTAATGGATTGAAGCGAAATAAAAGGGAATTTTTAAAAAATGTATTTTTAATAAGTATAAATTTATTAGACTATTTTACATAAGTTTATATAAATATTAAATGAATAGATATTATCAAATATTTTAAAATAATAAATTTATTGAAACTTTACCATTTTCACAGTTATATTCCTTAGTCATGCAACAAGTCGCGCACATCCATGGGCACATTTGCCGAGCTAACATTATATAGGGCTCCTGCTGACATTTGTCTAGGACCTGATAATTCTGATTACTGCAATATATTAAAACTTTATAAAATTCTGTTCTCTTCCTTCATATTTTCAGCTATGGTTGGAAATTTTTTCATTTCTAATGGAATTTTGACCAAAAACCAAAAAAAAAAAAAATTGTAAGAAATTTTGAATTAGAAGAGCATCATTTTTCAACATATATTTGTTTCCATCGCTAAAATTTAACAAATTTTTCGGTAGTTATTCTATTGATAGCAATGATTTAAAGTATTATAGATGGATTCTTCAAAAAAGAGATATATTCATTTCGAAATAAGTACGAAACAAAATTTTTATGATCAGAACGACTCACGGCATACGATTATTCGCGAGTACATCGTTTCCCGTCGGCTTGAATATTTCGAAGCATGCTGCCGCATCACGATCTTGGCAGTACTCGACAGGCACCGAAGGCCGCACTACAGCAACATTATTTTGCGCAGTTGGTACAGAGATAAAACAAACTTTTATATTCTCATCGGCTCCATTAACAATCTCGCATAAAAGCGCAAGAACAATCAGCGGAAATGGCATACTCTTAATCAAATTATTTCCAATCTGAAAATTAGGCTTTTTATAGTTGTGAATTAAATCTTTATTTATTTTCCCAATTTGAACTGAATGAAAAAATGATAAACATTGTCACACCTCCATATGAAACCTCCAGGTGCTCAAATATGGTAATTAAAAAATCTTTGATAAATTCAGTTAAGATCGACTGTTACACATTCAATAACGTTACATTCAAATCCATTATTCAAATCTTTCTTTTTCAAATAATTTTCAAAAAAGTTATTTGTAGTTTTCGCCAAAGGCATTTTTTACAGTTTTTGAAGGAAGGAAACAATTCAAAAAGTGAAATCGTTTGTTTTATTTGTGAAATAATGATGAATAATGAACGATTAAAATATTAAAAATATCCAACTCCTGCGGTGGACGGTGAACAACCAGGGAAGGCAATGCTTTGTGATAACATTATTAATACAGGTGGTATTTGAGCAAAAATGATAGAATCATATCTGATTTTATCGACGGAATCGTAAGATGCTCGATGATCTTAGACAAGAGTGGTAAAAAGCTGATGTCATTGGTTAATTACTGAAACTATAAATAATATTACGCAAAAATCACCGAAAATATGATTAAAATAATGCCAGTGAAATGGTGCCAACGAAGTATAGCAACGGCGTACTGTTTTTGCTTTTCATTACTGCAGGAAATTATTTACGGATTATAAATTCATTTTTTAAATTTTATGTCATTTGCCAGTGCTATTAAAGTCTAAGCATCGATCTTTTCCTTTTTGCTTGCTTGAGGAGTCGTTTAAGGAGAAATTAAGAAATGTATTGTTGGAAGCTACTTGCACTTCGATCCTTTAGTGACTCTGTTACTAAAGGATGCTGAAATAAGAATTATTTAGCCTTGTAGTAGCATTGTTTATGTTGCTGAAATCGATTTCACAAATATCACTTAACACATCTTTTATTCACCTTTTCATTCGGAAGGCTTGACAAAAAATTATGAACGTCTTGTCAGAATTACTAATTTTACGAGTACACAAATCCTTTAAACAACTAAAGGAAGACACAAATTTTCATATTATAGCTTAAAAAATAAAATATTCGTTTAAAGGGTAATTGAAGTAGTGAAATATAAATGAATCAAAATGAATTTACATAACTAAATTTACGTCATAAAATTTTCAAAAGCCATGTTTGAGCAGCTGAAGATTTGAAGATTTGAAGTAGAAGAGTGATCATTTTTTATTTGATTGTTTTTAGGAAAAACAAGTAAAAATTGGCGATATAAGGCAGTAATTATAGACCGGAAAAAATTCATTTGACCAATTTATATGCCTTTTTCTTGTCCTTGCACTGTGCAATCTTTCTAATGAAGGTGCTGCGAATATAGATTTTCGCTCGGTGCTTCGTTTGCTCTTGTACTGGCAACAAGTGGATAACAAATCGTATAAAAACCTTCAGTACCTGTTGAGAACTTCCAAGATCGTGATGCGCCAGCTTGCATCGAAATATTCAACTTCACCAATATTGATGCAAATAATTGCGGATAATCGTATGCCGTAAGTGACAACAGATTGAAGAATAAGTGCCAGAGAACGTATAAGTCGCTTAATTGTCTAATAATTAATTTTCGACAATTTTTTTAAAAACATCCTAAAAATAGAAATGCAAAATTGGAAATTCCACGAGAAATGAGACGATAAAATTTTCATGGATTTCAATAACGATTTTATCGCTTCCAGTATCAGTTTACAAAAACAAAAGACAGAATTGTGTTGCAGTTAAAGCCGCAAATAGCTGTGGCGGTATTTCGAACGATTGCGGTTATTGTGCCTAATTAGTATAATTTTATAAAAATTATAGTCACAATAAATTTGTATTAGAACATTATGAATTAAAATTTTATAAAATTCTTGTTGCGGTGAAATTTTACTTTACTTCAGAGGGAATAGTTTTGGCATTTATATTTACATTAAACTAAATATTTTCGATTTTCTTTGAACGCTATTTTTTGGTGCCAAAATTGGCAGAAAGCAGAAATACGAAATACGCGTTCATCTCAGCATTTGAGAAAAAAAAGATACATTCCGAATAGAACTGAAAGTTAATGAATTAGGCCCAACAACCAATGAAATACATTTCATTTTATGAGGGGCTGTGGAGTGCTTTTGAAATTCTACAGAATTCTTCTCGGAAGTTACTGAAGTGGAATATCATTTTCGTCCAATTTCAACCAAATTTTGAAAAGTTTTCACTTTTTTTAAATATTTTTCTGTTGATTGCAAACACCACACGCATCTCACATCAAATTTATTAGCGTTATATGGGACCAGTCACTCTAAAATTGGTAATCGCAATAAAAAGAATTGAAGAATAAGAATTTGTGGTATTTTTCAACGATCACGAAACTTTTGGGAAATGTCCAAAAATTTATAATCCAATATGAAATTACTCATTTCTTTTCCAAATTAACTAAATAGGTGATATAATTGGTAACGAAGTTAAGCTTACTTATATATTAATGAATTGAGACGAAAATGAATTTCTTAAAATAAATGAACTAATAAAAATCGAAAAACTAATCTACAAATTAATTTTGAAATGAATTTGCTATTGATTTTAATTTAATTCGATATTGATTTATTTTTTTCTTGAATCTATCTTCGAGGCACAAGTTTCTGTCAATTTTTGCAAATTTAATTGCTAATCGGACCTATTAAAACATTTGGTAGAACGGGAGAATTGATTTCCGTTTAGCAGAACGATAAACTTCATTGCTGAATTAATTTTCAATAAAATATTTCGGGTAGTTGTGCGGTAGCGTAGGATTATTTGTTGGTTCGTTCTGGCATTATGGCAAAGTGTTAACGCAAAGTATTCTATAACATTTCCTTGTTTATTGAACAATGGTAATTCTTGGTAACAATAATGACAAATGGCCAATAGGTGCGAATGGACATGGATAGAACATTTCTATGCTTTTATGTAATTTATTTGTACAAAAAAGATGCTTTTCCGACAAACCTATTAGGATTAGACATAATGCATATTTATTTTTGCAATTTATCGGCTTTTAGACATTATTTCTATTGTATTTACGGTTCATAGCAATAATTCGTGAAAAAAATCAATGCAACAAACTGTATTTTCCCAATTATTGAAAAGTGGTCATTTTCGCTTAGCGATCCAGAATGATTATAAATGGAATGGGGAATATAGATGGAATATTATGAATTTTTAGTCTTTTTTGGTCGATAATTTTATCTTCGAATTATGTTCAAGGACATATTTCAGTATAAATCTTTAAGGTCTGAAAGCAAAATCAGTGAAATGCGCTTGTTTCAGATTTCACATGCTCTTACAGCTCTCATAGATTCTTAGCAAAAGCACATATAAACAGTAATAATCTGGGAAAATGCAGAATTGTCATGAATGCGTTGCCAGACTTACATCACAAATAAATGATAAATTAATAGCAAAATTAACCTAGTACTATTTATCAGTGAAGCGCCATTAAATAAATTATCAAAAAAATATCCAAGCAAGTTCGCTTAAATGGAGCGACAAAAGAGCGATAATCGGAGATTTTAAGCGACATAATAGCGACAGTAATTTATGACATTTTTATAAAATATTTTTGTAATGTATGATATGTAATTCTTTTAGATTGGAAATTAAAACTGAAAAAATTCAAAAAATTATGAAAATGATGGAAAGAAAACGTGGCACAGATGCGTTAATTGTTATTTCCTTATTCCTTAGTATTACTATTTATTCATAAACTATTGGTTATTCTATGCTTTATTCATCTATTTATTTTTTTGATTTATAATATTTTTGATTTAGCCTGATTGTCAGTCCAAGTGTAGAGAGCCATTTGGAGATGGAAATACGAACAGTTTCACCCGAAATATGGTCCATCTTTCTTTAATATTGCAGAACATTTACAATGTCCATAATCATTTTATTGATATGAAAAGATTATTCAGAAACATTTTTTTCTTTCCTTTTTTTGAGATATTAGAAAGTGTTGAAGAAAATTTGAACGTGTCTTTATGTTCAAAAAAGGTTGTAACATGACCGTTATTTTTGTCATACGCATTCATGCAAACAAATGCATTCATATTTTAGTTTCCGGTGAAAACATTTCCGGAAATTTTTCGGAGTTATTCTATTCAATGGGAAAATAGTCCTCATTTTTCCTCATCCCTAACTTTATCATTTTTTTCTGTCTACTGAAACATGTAATACTATATTCACATTAATGCTATATATTATAATAATATATTAATATATAATAATACAAATGATTTAATATAAGAAAATATACGAGAATGGTTAAATAAATGCGATTTTGAAGTTTCTTTTATTACATTTGTTAAGTTCATTTTAATAATTATACGAAAAAGTAATAAAATATTCCTAAACTATTGATAATTTTCAGTATAAATTTTAAAATGCATGAAATAATATCAAAATAGCAGTGCATTCTTTCCACTTCGCTGGTTAAACATTGGATCTTTTGAACTTTTTTGAAATCCACATTTTCGTTGGAAGAATTTTTTTGGAAAATTCTTGAAACTTCAGTAGTTCGATGATTAAGATAGTTGTTCTATTTTAAATATTTTGAAATCAATTTGCCATAGTTTCTATAAAAAAATTTTCTTACAATAGATTTTGTATTCAAAAAATGTATAAAAAATTAGTTGCACTATCGCAAATTTTTTTCGTCTCAAAAATTTTAATTTTTCAACTTTTAATTTTAATTTTAAAAAAAAATCTTCGTCGTACAACTTTGAATAAATGTGCTAAATGATTGCTTTTTTACAGATAAATATCAATTTTAAAAAATTGAGCTTTCGAAAATTAAAAAAAAAATTTAGAAAAAAATTTAGAAAAATTTAGAAAATTTATAAAATAAATTTATAAAAATTTAGAAAAATTTAAAGAAAAATTTGTATGGGGTATGATTATATGGAATATGAATGCATTTCTCTAAATTTTATGCCGTTG